GCGGGGGGGCGGGGGGGGGAATAAGTCAAGCAAGGGGTTCAATTCGGCACGGTGTTTCACACTACTCGGTCCGCCTCCTCGTGGTTCCTGCCTTTCCTCGCCGTCTCGTCCGCTTGCGGTACCCCTCCCACCCCCGTGGTTGTTGCCGTGTCCGTGTTGTTGTCGGGCTGCTTGTTTCGTTTGAGCCCTCGTTGTCGGCTAGCCCTTCTCGTGCCGGGAGGCCATGAACCTCTTAGCTCCCTGCAGTCAGTACCCCTGTATGCCACGGCAGTACCCCCTGGTCCACCTTGTCTTCTTCCATCCAAGTTGTTGTTTCCGGAACTCCGAAGAAGTATTAGGTAGGGCACGTGGGAACCTACAACAAGGGGGAGAAGAGTAGGAAAAAAACACATGAAAGACAAAAAAGACGAGTCCGGCCGGACTCGAACCGACAATATCTGCCTTCGAAGGGCAGCGGCTTATCCATTAGCCTACGGACCCGACACGTTTGCTTGTCATCATTCCGTCCTTCTGGAGTCGGTGTTGTTTTTAACGCTTATCCGTTAGCCTACGGACCCGAGATAATATTTTGCCAACATTCCGTCCCTCTGGAATCGGTTTTGTTTTTAACGCCACACGCTCTTGCGATTATTTTTCACTCACTGCTGCCGCCCGCTGGAATGAAGCAACAACAACAACGTGCACTCACCTGGGCATGTAGGCTAATGGATAGCCTGTTGGGAGTATGTTCAAATGTATTTGTGTTCGTAACATGAACCGTTTGGGTGATGGGGGTTATGAATTGTGTCCTTGGTAGCGAGTGCAGATGTGGTCTTACAGAGCCGCACGTTTCTGAAGTGTGAGGGTTAGTTTCAGGTGTCATTCTGAAGTCAATGCCGCGAATTCTGAACGAAAAAGCCGCCGGTAAAAGTCTTGAAATTGAGTCAAGCCAAGGGCTTTTTCAGCTTTTTGCCAACTTTTTTTCTGACCCGTGGGTCACCGTGGGCACCCAACATTTTTTTTTCGAATCGCAACTAAAACTGGTAGATGCGTTATCGACCCTACATAACTGCGTTCGTGTTCATGTCTAGCGCTGTACGTTGGTTGCTTGTCAAACAGCAGTATATGCGTTCCCCTAGGAAAAATCATGGACCTGGTGTAGCGTGTTGTTGATGTACGAGTAATCTGTTTTGGAGTGAAAGTGGGTGGCATCGCCATTCTTTTCGCTCGCAGGCACTGAAGAGAGCCAATCAGCACTTTGACCGCACATTGCACCACGCCCGAATCCCCGTGGAGGGCCTTCGAACGAAGCGAGTCACCCCGCACGGTGACCGCACACTAACCTCCAACCAAAACCCCGTGGAGTGCCACCGAGAAAAAACGAATGACGATGCCACTCGCTGTCACTCCAAAACCGACTGCTGGTACATGAACAGTCCGTGAGTGTTTGAAGTATTGTCTCAACCCCGAGCAGAATGCGGTCCCTCGGGCCTAGCAGCTATTTCCTCGTGGGGTATCTACGCTCCACATGCTCGTGGCTGTAGTTGCGGTACGCTTGGAATACCGTGTGCTTCGTGCAGCATCATATCGATTGACTTCAGAACCCACCAGTCAAAAGTGACTGCCACTAGCCAAAACGTATTCCTGGACAAACGCAGAAGAATGTGGACAAAACGCGACATCGACTCCAGATAGACGAACGGCACGGAGATTTTTTGTGAGAGGTCTCTGCGTCAGGTTTTGACGAAACGACAAAACAACGATAGCAACGTATTACACACCACAGCAGTCAGTGATTTGGTTCGCCCAACAGCAACACAATGCACATCCACAGCAGCCAGTGATTTGATTCGCCCGGCGTAATTTTTTGTTCCCCCGTACAGGCTCTCTGTTCTGGAAACGAAGTTTCTCGAAGAGCACCCGCCGAAGCACAGAACGACCAGCATCATCGTCGACGTCTGACCCATCATCTGAATCTTCCGACACTTCCTCGGTTATTCACCTCGGCAGGCTTCGAATACCTCAGTCGAGAAGACTCGGCCTCGCCACCCAAAGGTAATGATGTGTTTTTCGACAAGAAGTGCTGTACAATGTATAGCTTCCATCCCTTTGTCATTGCTCTTATGTGTTTGTGTGTGTGTTTTTTCGTGCTATTTGTTACGGCGACTGCTGTCCCCCCATTATTCGTGGTGAGGCGTGTACTACACGTATTTTAGGGTATGTAGAGTACTACACTTTTTTTTTTTTTGTTTGATCGTTCAAATTTGTTTCATCCACACCACAGTATGCAGCATCCCGTTTTCTCCTTTTTCGTTTCTTTTTTTTTCTTGTGTTCGAGTTGTCCACGTCACAACAAGTGATAACAAATTTTTCTTTTTTTTCCCTCTTGACCTCAATCTATCGTGATTTGCACTTATTTGCGTCCGTCCCCATGGAGATAAGGCAGCGTGGGCGGGGGAGGGGAGGCAAGATGTTTCTATTTCGACGGTTACAACAGTCGCTGGATTGCGCTTTTGTTTTTTCCTGCTCGCATGAAAAAATAAATATTGCAGCAGCGGGGTAAGCGCGCAAAGGAGCCCTGTCGTAGGAGTACAGGCGCGGCAGCAAGGTCATGCCGGGGGGGCACGCAGCGGGGGGGTACGGTTAGAGGGAGAACGGGGGGTGTACTCATAGTCGTGCATGCCGTAGTCGTTAGCCCATTGACCTCGCATCCATACAAAAGCCGGGACGGAGCACGCCGGGTTCTCACCGGAACAGGCTCTCACATCACCAAGCACGAAGCGCCGGGAGGTGTTCGGCGAGTCGCATGAAGGATGCGCTGCATCCTGCTAAGGGTGTTCGGCATCATGGGCTCACTTCCTTGCGTACGGATGATGACAGCTGCGTACGAGTTAATTTATTTTCTGGTGTTTTCACTTCCAGAGACAGTTAGAAGCACTGTGTAACTGCCTCGAGGATGCTTGACCAATTTAACACCACGTTGTGCGATCATCCCCCTTGCGCGGAGTGAGGGTTCTCGACCCCGCACAACATGATCTACTCGACCACCATTATAGTTACCGCAACTAAAAAAAAAAAACGGTAACCTGGTTGCCGAGCTCACGAAGTGAATCGGCTTGTTTTACAACGTCGTTGCCAAGCGACGAAAACCCAACCCCGATGGCAAACACCGAGGGGGGGGGCGGGGGGGGGCTACTCATGTTCGGCATGCCTTATTTGTTAGGCCAT